GGTCCGGCCGAGGGTCTCGGGGGCCCGGCTGCCCTCCTTCCCTGCTGCTGTTCCGTGATGATTACCCCATGCGTGTCATCTGATCCCGTGCCCCGATTCCCCCCTTCCGGCCCGCGTTCTGCTGGGCAGGGGGAGGAATCCCCGGGGTCGGGGAAGTGATCATGCCTGGATAAGCTCCCTGAGACCAGCAGATGGAGGTTTTTTTTTGGTCCCTCTGCTGGGCTGGGCCTGCCTGGATTGGCCTGCCTGATTTTCTTTCTTTTCTTTCCTTCCTTCCTTCCTTCCTTCCGCAGCGCCCAAGTACATCAAGATGTTCGTGCTGGACGAAGCCGATGAAATGTTGAGCCGGGGCTTCAAGGATCAGATTTATGACATATTTCAGAAATTGAGTGGCAACACACAGGTGAGGAGGGACACCTGGGCAAATTGGGCCGTTCCTTGGAGCTTGGGGTCTGCAACCTGGGCCCCTTTAAGACTGGTGGGCTTCAGCCCCCCAGAATCCCTCTGCCAGCTGCTTTAAGAGTGGCCCCAGAATTCCCCAGACAGCCCCTTTAAGACTGATGGACTTCAGGTCCCAGAATCCCTCAGCCAGCCCCTTTTAAGAGTGGTGGGCTTCAGCTCCCAGAATCCCTCAGCCAGCCCCTTTTAAGACTGGTGGGCTTCAGCTCCCAGAATTCCCCAGCCAGCCCCTTTAAGCCAGCCCCTTTAAGCAAAGCTAGCTGAGGAATTCTGGGAGCTGAAGTCCACTAGTCTTAAAGTGGTCCAGGTTGCAGACCCCTGCCTTGCAGGGATTTACTTATAGATTGAATTTATTTGCCACCTATCTTGCCATTTTTTGGGGGGGAGGGCTACTCTAGGGCGGCCATCTTCTGGGACAGGGGTCTCCAACCGTGGCCACTTTGAAGGCTTGCGGACTTCAGCTCCCAGAATTCCCCAGCCAGCCACGCTGACGAGAGAGAGCCTGAACAAAACTCCTGAGGTTTATTAAAGGGTGCTGGAGGGGGGGTCCCCTCCCTCCCTCCCACGTGAGAAGGACCCCTTTCAAGGGGAGAGGGACTTTCACCACCTCCAGTTCCCATAGCCCTATTGAGAACCCCTTTTTAGGATCTGGGGAGGAGACCCTAAAGAAGAACAAGAGTTGGAAGGGACTCGGGAGGTGGTCTAGTCCAACCCCTGCTCAGGCAGGAGACCCTAGACCTGGGGGTGGTGGGGGGTGTCTCCAAACTGGGCAACTTGTCAGGCTCGTGGACCTTAACTCCCAGCCCCCTTTGCAGTTCTGGGCGTTGAAACCCACAAGTTAGTTGCTCTAGGGAGGCATTTAAAGAAAGCGGAGATTGGGGAGGGGGAGGGAGGGGCTTTGGGTGAAGGAGGCACAGCGCTGAGGTCCCCCCCTCTGTCCCCCCACTCAGGTGGTCCTCCTGTCGGCCACCATGCCGATGGACGTGCTGGAGGTCACCAAGAAGTTCATGCGGGATCCGATCCGCATCCTGGTGAAGAAGGAGGAGCTGACTCTGGAGGGGATCCGGCAGTTCTACATCAACGTGGAGAGGGAGGTGCGTACACTGGGTCTGGCTGGCTGGGGGGGTGGGCTGGATGAGGGGGGTGGGCTTTGTGTCCTTCCAGGGGCTTCTAACTGGGGTCTCACACAGACACACACACACACACATCACTGCACAAAAGCCATTGGAACCGGGCTTTTGACTCCGGATGGCTGCAAAGTCCCGGAACGCAGCTAGGTTTTTGTTCCCCCCCCCAGGGCCA